TGCATCGTGGAGGAGACAAGATGGTCCAGCACAGGGACTGGAGCCAGTGCAGGCGACTCGTTAAGTGAACATAATCCCTATATAATCCACATACATGGCAACAGGACTAAGCCGGCTCCAAGTGTGGCGGGCGGTAAATAGTATGTCCGACAGAAATACACGCGACAATATCTCATTGATTTGGGGTTCCTCAATGGGCTGCTCAAGTCGGTCCAAATTCTCCACATGAGGCAATGCCAAACGCGAAGTCAAAGCTAAACCCAACATGCAAGACATCTATGGCCAAGGAACTCCTCCAGGTTTTTTCTTTGCTCCTGCTTTAGGACTTCACGGAGAAGTTGTCGTCTTCCTTGGCTTTGTGGTCTTAGCGCTGCCTGAACTCCCCGCTCTAACAGAAGAGGCTCTCAACAGTGAGGCTGTTCGGGTAATACATTGGGATTCCGGTAGAGATGATGTGCGACCGCGTGGAGGAAATACGGTCTTAGCGTCAAGGAAGCTGAATTGTGTTCGGCTAGATAGCAACCAGCGTATAACTATCCATTGCCGCGCATTGACAGGGGAAGGGAAATATGCAAGAATCTAAACATGTTCGCTTGAGCCGCTAGAGGATCTCGCAAGCAGGTTCCTAATCTTTTGTACCCCCTTGTCGCTCACGTAGATTCTCTTTCTGTTTTTTTCTGGGTATGCGTGCAGGTACCTGACACATGTCAAGAGAGAGGAGGAGCAATTAAAGAGTGCGTGCTGTTTCTTGCAACCGCAACGGAACCATGATCTCCACAGTGCGCAGCCAAGAGTGCACATGCAATTCAGAGGCTGGCATAGCCAAAAAAAGTACATGCAAGAATTTTTGCCAGCTGGGCACCAATCTGTGAAAGCTGACGGAATGCTTTGATAGATCCATTCACTTCTCTGAGCCCCTTGGCATTCAAGAGCCTCATTCCGGAGGACAGAATCCCATACCTGCCGGGCTTCAACGACTCGAGCGCCAGCTTTCGGTGCTCCTCTATCCATTGCAGACTCTGTGTCCAGTCTTAGGGTGCAGTGTGTTCAAAATCGGCGCAAGTTCTTGAAAGAGTCAACCCCCTCTACTCTCACCTTTCCATGAAATCTCGCAACCTTCAAGCATTGCAACCTTCAGAGCTGCAGGTGATCATTTCTAGGAGGTTGCAAGGGCTCCTCAAAATAAGCAACTCTATCTGCACCTAGGCTGATACAACAACTGCCGCTCAGAGAGTTGGTCCTCCACCGTCAGTGCCTCACAGAGCGGAATTGTCAAAAGCAAGCCGACCACGTTTCACGTTTTGTACAAAAAGATGTTGGAGATGTTTGCGTGTATGTCAGTCATGTGAGTACTGTCACAGGTTATAATCAACAAAAATGATTCCCGCCAAGTCATGAGAGTCTCAGATCCCTTGTTCTGGACTTGAACTTGCGGTATCCAAGCTTGGTGTCAGGACTTCTACTTGCACTCTACAGCCTTGCCGCGGGAAGTTTAAGCTTCGGTGTTCTTATACTACGAAGCGCAAATATGCTCAAAACGTCAATTGATCCCTCTGTAAGCCCTCTCTCCCAGATGACTTCGTTCCCTCCACCCATCCAAACATCTAAATGCCCTCCTAAAGGGGGATCTAAAGGTGAGTGGGAAGGTGGATCTCTAGCGTTATGCTCCCCCCAGAATGAAGAATGTTCTCTTCATTAACTCCTCCACTCTCTCGTAATGAAGCAGCTTAAACTCTGAGCCACCATTTTCTTTTCCACTCGCACTTAAGCACCATCAAGTGAGCTATAGTCTAAACTCCTACTTGTCTGAATAACCCCTATTATGCTCCCTTATATCATCCTCTATATAATCCCCCTTCAAGGAGTTAGGACTTTAGATCAAGTCAGAAGCACCCAGGGGTCCCAGGCCTGCACGGAGCCCCCTCCCCGCTCCGCACGGAGGCCGGGCCGGGGCTGTAGCACCTCCACGGAGGGCTCAGGGCTTGCTCCTCTTGGGGTTACAGGTTGGGTGTTAAAGGTTGGGCGTTAAAGGTTTGGGTGTTAAAGGTTTGGGGTTGGAGATTCGGCGTTGCAAGTTTTAGGTTTACCTTTGGGTACGGGAGTTCAACATGCGTGGCATCCTTTCAGATAGGACAAGCGACTAGCTGTTCCGGCAGTGCCCCAATAAGCTTGATCCGACACGTTCACAGGCAAGACGGCAGGAAGTTGTAAGATACACCGAATAAGGGCGCCAAAAAGGGTTCCGTTATCTGTATATCGTGAGGGACTTCTACAACCAGTCTATATTAGGGGAAATATGCATGATTCGATGGGTGGGGAGGTTTCCTAATCCATAATGGCTCTTCCTGCCTCTCTGCTGCTTTGGTTGTCCCGCCACCACGGCCGTGCGACCAGATATCACGTTCCCAAGGCCAGAAGGCTACTTTGCCTCTATACTCCAATTGGAGACTGGTATTCCAGGTCGCGGGCTAGAATCCAGAAAGCCCACACACCAAGACGCCTACTGCTTTCTGCATCGCTGCTCCTCTCAGGAAAATGCAACTTGGTCTGGACGCTCAACACTCATGAGCCTGGTTGATCTGCTGTTGCTGCAGAGGATCCAGCTCCGCCAGGTGTACGGCATCAGCACCAGCCACGCGCAAACCATCGCGGCCTGACACTCTGCGGCTTCTGCATCTTCTTGCTGGAACTTGGCAATCTCACAGGACCTCTTGCAAACTCTAGACTCCGAGTACAACCGCATCTTTGATACATGGGTACGGACCCCAACCTGCATCGGCGACTGAGTGTATGCCCGCTGATGGCATCAAGGGCCCAACTGGGCGCTGGCTTCCGGGCTTACTGTTGAGGGATACGTGCCTTCAGAGTGTTCTGTGAGAACTTGGGGTACTCCTGACTCTTTGCACACTAGCCTGGCGGTATACAATGGTATAACATACTTGTGAAGATGAAGAACCCCAAGATTCTCTTGATTCAGGGCTGTCCGTCAATAGTTCTGCCTTTCTGTGAGTAACGTCAGATCTCAGATAACTAACACTGCGGAGCGTACAAGCAAAAGAGCATCGATACTAGTGTGTCATGGTTCTAAAACTACACAGTCTTCAGCACATCGTCTGAGAAAGAGTCCTATTGTCCATCCTGATAGTGCCGCGGTCTGAAACCAGGCCCTGATGTTTGCCTGAGCCCTATGGGCTTCCCTTGCACTTTCCCAAAGCACTGTGGAACCAAAAACCTTGAACCCAATGTTGAAAATCTGAAGCATGAACCTGAAACCTGCTACAATCCCTGCCCCGCTGCGGTGCTTGCAGCCTTTTTACGGTTCAATCTGCGGAGCTGCCGGGCCACAACTGCTTTGGACCGCGCATTACCCAGCAGCCACCACCCTCCCCACTTTTGGGGGGGGCGGTCTGGAGTTAGGGCTCGGGCTAACTGGGATTCAGAGTCTGCACTGAAGTGCTCTGGGTTCACAGCTGAAATTTCATAGCTCAAGGTCTGCTGCTTTGGATAGTGTGTCCGGTTGTCTTCCAGGTTTCTCTTCCTATCCCGAGAGATTCAACGTACTTATGACAGCAACAAATTTCCGCTCTTAGCACAGACAGACATATGCATCCTGAGCAGGGCATTCACTGAAAGATGACCATCTGCTCCAGTTACTACAGTAGCTGGTGTGTAGAGGAGTTTTAATAGTGTCTGTGAGAGAAGTCTCGAAGACTTTCTTCAATCTGAGTCTTGGCGACCAGTCCCAACCCGTCTGCTTGCTGCCGGCGTCCAGTTTCAGCTGCTTTGCAGGTCTCTGGAGCCATCGAGCACGATTATGACGCTGCATGTGGGGCTGAAGGCTTCGAGGCATTTCACAATGTTCTTTTGGATGCAGACATAGCCTTTGGATGTGGGCCTTAGAGCTGAGAACTGAAAGGAGTAGGACTGCACCATACTCTCGGCTACAATGATTAGCAAACGGAACGCTGCTTATTTGCAACCTCGTCTGCATCCAAATTGTCTTTGATGATCACTATACTTGCAGAAGCTGGGTAAACTTGATCACACCAAACGTTCGAAGTCAAAAGCCCCCGCCTCGTCCCGGTGCCATTTTTTGGCAGCACGGGGACGCTGGCTTTTATGGAGTTGAGTAGAGGAAGAAGAGTATAAAACTGCGCTTTTTCCGTAATTGAGAGCATGCATAAAGTTGAAATCGTCGCATTGCCTCACATACCCTGATGCCTGAACCGCCTGCTCTAAGGTATTCCAGCACTGCCAAAGATGTTTCCTCATTTCCTGGTACGAGGCTCAGACAATTAATATATGGTGCTGTCCGTAAACGGAAGTCCAACTCCTAGGCGATTATGTTCAGTCTGGTCAGACTGCGCCGTGCTAGGATCCGCAACAAGAACCTGCAATGTCACTCGTCATGGAAAATTAACTCGAATACGATCTGCAAGTACTACTCGCATGTCGCTTGCCCAAAACAACGGCATTTTTTGTAAGCAAGCTTCCTGTCTTTCGGAAGCCCGCACCTGGCATCCAGGTGATGAAGAAAATTTGACAGACTGGGTGGCCAAGATGCTCAGCGCACGGTCTGTTGCTTAGAAAGGCCTCCGTCCTTCAGTTGTTCAGCAGGCCGCCGCCGTAGAAACTACAGTCAGCCTTCCACCGACTTGATAGTTTATTGATTTGCCTGGGACCTACCAAACTCAGCAGCCCAAGGAGCTTACTGCAGTACTCTTGCATAAACAACAGGGTTTTGAGGCTCTCATGCATATGTAGCTTTGGGCATGCTAGCTTGGCAGGAAGCCTCTTGCGGAAGGGACGTATGTTCTACAAATCAAAAATGGTCCCTGACCCGGGTGTGTTATCTGAGCAAGAGCATCCAGGACCATTTGAAACCAGCACGCGCATCTACCCAGATACATTCCAGCCCCCATGCCATACAGACCTCCTACCTGAGCCCCGCGACGCGATTATGAAACCCATTTACGGCTCAGAGGCCCTTGGTCCACCCATCATCCGGCAGCTGGCTTAGGCGAAGCTGCATCTTCGCCTCAAACCATCTATCCGCCCTTCATGAGTTCAAATTTTAGGGGGCGGGCCGGGTGCAAGGTTAGAAGCTCCACACCTTCCTTCGCAGCCTTCTAGGGCTCCATCCGTTCTGATACAAACGCTGTGAGCTGAGAAGCTTGCAGCTTGGGATCTCAAATCTTTGGTTGAGGGTCTGGCGACTGCCAGGGACATTTGAACCGGCAGCAAACGCGTTTCGGAGATGATCTACAGAGATCCACTTAACCGTAGGCAACATGATAACTGATTCTTCAGAGCTTGCACAAAGACTCGTCCGTTGGTCCAGGGATGCTCGACGGGATGATGAGGGTGCGCGGTTAGAGCACAGCCATTGAGATGCAGCACATGTTTGATTTCCGGCTGCCGCGAGCACAGTAACTCTGCGCTTTACTTTGATGCGGTCTGAATCCTGGGCCGCTGCATCTGCAACCTATGCAACCTAATAATGCAATACTGGATGTCAAGTGTGGTCACAACGAAACACAACATGTTGAAAACTGCGACAAGTCAGACTTGCACAAACCTATTCAAGACTTCAGGAGAGGAAACCAAAAACAGCAAACCAACCTCAGATGCCCTTTAGAACAGCAACAACAACAACAACAACCTTTGCATGACAAAGACATGCCTCAAAGAGAAGACGCTGGCTTGCGGCTTGCTGTCAGGATGCCTCCCGGCTGGTCCTCGTCCCAGAGGCGACCGTGCACTTGGGCGTGCTTGACCTGCAAGTTTTCTTGAGTATCCCCCTTAATACTCCCTATAATAGTCCCCTACAGAATCCCCTATTCAGCTGCCCTCAACCCTGCGACAGTAAGCGGGGCTCTATTTGGAAGATTGGCATCTTTGAGTTTGCAGGAGTTGGGGTACAAGGACGGATGAATTTGCAACCGGGTTGCTTCGAACATCTGTAAATGGAACGCTAAAGACGTCAAAAGCCTGCTGATGAATTTAGCTTTGAAAGCCTGTCTCAACAGTTCAAGAGGCCATTGAGATCATCATCGCCAATGGGCTTGCAAAGCGATTCTTCATCTTCTCATGCGAATGCAACCTCAAGTCATGAGGCCAAAACGAAGCATGAGATGCAAAACACTGCAGGAGGGTTATGCAAGGTTGTTCGTACAAGCTGTAGCTAGCTTGACGGTAGCTGCTGCTGGGCGTTTTTTCTTGTTTTTCTGCGAGGTCTCTATTCGATGTGTTGAGTTGCGGAGTTCTGTGGAGGCTTGTCAAAATGGGGGGCGCCTTTTTAGGATACCAGTAACATGGGTCGACGCACATATTTGGACCCAACAAGGCACCATAATTTTTACAACCTACCATATGGGCTTTTCTGGCACAGCATGCTTCGCCATAAGTAGTCCCGAACTGGTGACTGGTTCCGACAGGAATGCTGGTGAACACCTCAGAATGCCTTACTCTGGGGCCAAAGAGACAACCCGAGGCTTCCCAAATTCAATATCCTCTGAACCTGTACCCCATGTCCCGCAAGTGATGTAAACGTTAGGGTAGGGCCACAACTGTGGGGATGCTGGAGGCATTAGCAACAGCGTGTGTGGCAAAATACATCGGTTGCACGCTTTTGCGGATAAAGTTGATGAATGGACTCTTGCAACGAATGAGCAACATGTTGTACTGTAACTCAAACATCAACAATAAAAATGCAAAGTGGTTCAAGGCTTGCCAATTTGCAGGATGACTTTCCCCAGGATGAAGAATGAAATCAACCAGGCAGGTCTAGAGAAAGCCTGTGGTCACCTCATATCCGTCAAAGCTCGCATGCTATCAAGCAGCATGTCTATCAACAATGCTATCTCCAGCGGACCAGACAGAAAGTGCTTTGGATCGTCCTGGCCACAGGCGTATCACCGCCATTTGCAAATATGAAACAAGGGCCTACATAGATTGGGTGGTTTTCTGAGGGCCTGGAACGACGGGCGATGTTCATGAGTGGCAGCCACGAACGCAAAGTCTTTTAGAATTAGGATGCAGCACCCACTCTGGTTATGCGAACCTTCTGGCAATAAGGAAAAACAGAAATCTTTGTTGGGCAATGACTTTCCAGGTTCCAGTTTGCATATTCATGTGTTACTTTCCTATCTAAGGTTGTTGAGTGTTTTCTGAATGCTGTTACAACCATTGTCAACGGAAACGCAGTCAAATTGATTCCCAGAACAACCTAAGTTTAAGTGCTGTTCACTCCATCTCTACCTGCCTACCCCCAGGCTCCAAGCATCGAAATCTGATAAAGCACGGCCGCTACAAAGATTTCAGGATTTCTCAAAACCGAGGAGTGCCCTCTGAGACCCCATGGCTCTCTGAACATCATTAGGACCAGGGAAGATTTTGTAAAGACATGTCTTAGAAACATCCATATGCTCCAGGGGTCCACCAACACGCACTTGAGACAGCAAACCGGGCCCACGGGGAGCCAACGCACGACAGGGCTAAAGGTCTTAGGTCTAGGGGTCTAGGGCTTAGTGGCTAGGTCAGGTAGAGCTTGGATTCAGGTTCAGCATGTAATGTCGCATTCTAGGGTTTTGTTTATCCGGCATAAGGCATTTTTCAGGGTGACCCTTGCCAAGCTCCCTTGTTCTTTTTTGTAGGCCTCAGGGCTACAGTGCTGCAATTTAGGGTGTGGGCTTCAGGCAGTGGTATAATTGGGCGTGGGCTCGAAGGGTTGGGGCTCGAGGAATATGGTCTAGTCCTCATGCTTATGGGAAATTCCGCAAGAACAGTGGAATGACAGATCTGTATGACCTGATATGACCTTCTGCTCAGGCTTGCTGGTGAACCTGAGCCTGCTGGCTTCCTAGTGGCAGTTCCCGAGCTGGCGTTCAAGCACGACCACAGCTGTCAGTCAAACTTAAAAGCCAAGTCCTAATCGCACCCCAAGTGTTTAGATCAAGTAAGTCGAACCCCCCGTCCTTTGCTGTGGGCTTAACTTTGCCAGAGTCCTCCGGTCAAGGCAGCAGGATTCAATTTATGTCACAGGTGTGGGCATAGGGCGTGGTGCTTGCAATGCAACTTTGCTAAAAGCTAGGGCTCCTGGACTTTCGGAAACTTGCCTTGGCACGTCAACATCTTCCTGTTAGGAGGATGGAACCTGATTGATATATCAAACTGTTGGCCCTTGGTGACTGTGAGGAGCTTCCTGCATCACATCGTAGAGATAAGTCCGTCCGCGGGCAGATCCTTTTGCAGTATGGGGTACAATGGAAACACAACTGGAGCAGAACATGCCCGCAAAACAGGCTGGTCACAGCATGCTGCTGGAAACCTTCAAGCAGTTGCATTGAGAAAACAGGGGTATCTTAGAACTTCAATCCAAAGCTTGCAATCTGAGACGCAGAACCCCCGAACTGCATCACCCCAACAAAGCAAAACTTATTGCAAGGACCCCCAGCATGCAAATCTTGAAAGCAATTCATCCTGCTCCCCAACCACTAGTGTGCGTACTTTCAGATGCCCTTTCTACAATCCGTATGCAATCCTGACATGAACCTCTCCAGGACCTATCTAGGCTCTAAACACCTCATAATCCAATACGTTCCTAGGGCCGCATGCCCCCATGTTTTAGAGAAACCGCCGCAATCGAATGCATACTGCCTGGTAGATCTTCCCGGCAGCGACAGCTTTTCGGACGTTGATATGGCGAAGAGTCAGCTCTCCAACGGATCTGCCGGAAACATCACACTGCCACTGTATTGCTCGATTCTGCTATCGCATGACTAAACATGATCTCTCATCTTTCATGAGGATCCGATCCCTCCTTCTTAATCATATTCAAAATTGTTCTTGCGGTGCTCAGTGCTCTAGCGGGTCTTGTGTGTTGTTCTGCTATCCTCCCCTTCTGCGACTGGAACGAGCAATGCTGGAACTATAACCTTTTAAGTTTTAAGATTGCTAATATTCTGAAATCAGTTGAACGGAGGGAGGTCTGCCAGGGATTTAAGCAGGAGGGCGGCTGCTGCAAAGCCTGCAAATCTTCCTATTCTACCTGTAGCCGCTATGGGAATTGCTTCTCACGAGGCATGCTCTTTGAAGATCTATTCCTTTGCAAGGATCAGATTCAACGAATATCCAACATGTCTGCAAATGATGTGTCCCGAGCTTTGAAGGGTCAGGAGTGTAGAGCGAAAAACAAAAGGAGGCCTTCAGACACCCCAGCCCAAACATCGGTTCCTCATCCGTTTACGACCAGTCATCCCTCATGCCAGCCTCAAGAGCTTCGGCCAAGTGGCCTCCAAAGGATTCAGAACGAAAAACTGCGACATGCAGGATTTGGGAACTTCGATGGCTCAAGCAACGGGTTAAGCTTCTGCATAGTCTAGGATCCAATGCTCAGGGCTATGTTCGAGCCTTACCGTTGAATTATTGCAGGGCTTGGAACTCAAGCTTGGGTGTGCTCATGCAAGCGCAAAGACATGTTCAGTCGGCAAGTAGTCCTATCTTCTCCTATTGAAGATGAGCCTTCATGGCTTTCATTTAATTATGGCCCTTTGACCTGGCCACATCACAATTTGGGACAGAAGTCTTGCATATGTATGGCACCATATGATCATCTCATAGGCTTTAGGGCCGACAGCGCGGAATTGAAAAGCAAGCTTTCAAGAGGCTCCACCTCGCGCTAACAAGGATCATGGAAAATTATTATTACTATTACTATTATTACTATTATTATTACTACGAATATTATTATTACTACAAGACTGACCTGGCGCTAATCACTCTGAACTCTGGCATGCAGTCCTGCACTTCCTCGGATGTCAAACAGATCTGGTCCGGAACTCCAATGAGCCCGCCATTATAGGACAACAGCATCAAGTCCTGCAATCGGAGGCTGTTTGACCCTAAGAGTTAGCACAGGGGGCTTCAATTTGTATGCCTCAATTTGCAAGGCTTTTGGGCTCTGCATTATGGCGGGTTGCTTCCCTATTGAGCCAGGACAAACGTGACAAGATGTAAATACCAACTACTGGAGGGAGAGTGCCCCTGTGCAAAGATTTTTCTCCAGGCTTGCCGCACCATCTCTTCGAGGAAATCGTAGAACTACCAGACCTGACTGTTGTAGCCCCTGTCCTACACCTCTCAGCAACTTGTAGCAACTACGGTCTCTCCGTTTTTTGTGGTGGTGCCTGTCACAACAAGCCTTACCTGTGAAATTTTGCAGGAATCAAGGAAGTCCCGGATCAGCTCGTGAGACTCCCGGGACAAATGGGTGACTCTCACTGCAAATGGTTCACACTGAAGTTCTTTTGGCTAGAAGAACTCACCTGCAGCTGAAAGCAAGTCCTTGATGTGAAAGGGATGGTTGACCAAACTCCCGTACACGGAGGCCTCGTCGCCCTTGCTGACCTTTCTCTGCTAAACCATAGCAGTGCTATGATAGCACTGAATTGCTTCATGAGTTGCTTCGCAATTGAGGATGCCAGAAACACCTAAACCTCTCTTCCTTGGCTCAAGTCAGTTGAAGCCTCACTTGCTGTCCACGCCTACCCCCGGGCCCAAAAAACACATTCTGCATGCACGCGCATTGGCCGCAGAAAGCTGCAAACAGCGATCATGCGCATTGCCACTGCCAAACATCTGCCAAAGTTTTACAGCAGCACGTGAAGCACCATGATGTGGATCGAGCCACGCGCGCACGCCGCAAAAAAAAAGAAGGAGTCTTCCGTAGCAAAGTGGCTAAAGATGCCAAGCGGGCCTTGCTGTAGACAACAGTGGTGAGCCTGGGATTTCCCCAAATCAGGGGACCGTTGTTGGAGGTCCGTATATTCAAAGTTCTCAAAATTGGCATCTTGAAGGTCCATTTTCTGGACTGTACCCAAATGATTTCCACAAGCTGCAGTAATCAAACCTGCCTTAGGAGTAACTACCCAAGCTTGACTCTGACACTGTTGCGAAACTGTTTCGAGGTGTCAGGCTTGATAATATGGGGGTTTCAGAAAATTAGGGGTACTATTTTGGTGGTACATAATAAGGACTACAATACTTTGGGGTCTACTTTTTTGGGGAGCTACCATATGTGTTGCCAGTGTAGGAGAACAGCCCATGTCATGCCCGCACTTCATAGCTTTAAAAACCATGTTCGATGCTTGAATCCATGGACTGCGGATGTGAATTATTTATTTTTTTAGAAAATATTTTGTAATAGCTTATACTAATATTCAACATTTATTATTCTTAAAACATTTTGTAATAGTTTATACTAGTATTCAAATTTTGTCAAGTGTTGCATCCAGCACACAGTAGCTCCTGAAGGGGCGCGCTGGGCAAGAAAAGCCCGAACTCGGCCCAATACCTCGGTTTCCGTCGAGGGTCTAAAGTCCCCCTTAAGTAGATAGAATATAGGGGTTATATTGGGATAATGGAAAAGAAAATGGAAACTACTATTTAGGGTTTCTTCGTTGTTCTTGTAGTCTTGACTTTTCACGTTGTGAAGTTTGTTTAAGGCAATGAGAATTCAGAATTCATCATGAAGGAGCACTAGGTAGAGCGCTGGCAGCCTGTGACTTTCTTGAGGACTTGACTGGCAAGCTTGGAGATGGCAATCCCTTGAACTTTTTAGAAGTTGGCTTCTTGCTGGGGACGGGAGATTCCATCTGAACTGGACCCCATCGTGAAAAGCCAGCCTCCTCCCAACTGCAAACCCAATAACTCAGACACGACCTGAGGCAAAGACTCTTCAACCCCCAGCCCAAAACAAAACCACCAAAGCCTCCAGTCAGACATAATAAAAAAAAAAACAGCCCCTCTCCGAAGAAGCCAATGCAACTTTCACTTGCATAAGATACTCCATCCATGCCAAGAAGCCAATGCTCTAGGAGCAAGTCCTGATCTATGAGCATCAATCTGGAAATCAGATGGACCTTGGACAGATGCAAGGCGGGAAAACAGGGATCCTGGAAGATCGCTTGTAATCTTTGCAAAAGTATATGTGGGGCAGACTCCTAGATTCAAAGCTAGGGGTACCCAGCCAACCCTACAGGTGCAGCTGCGCATTGCCACAACGATTTGGCTTAAGATACTTTTGCATTTTGAGAGCCCAGGTTCGTGGTGCTTCCTTGTTATGTGCCAGATTGACACTACTGCCTCAGCAGAAGATATTTTGGATCCTCTACCTAAAACGTGCGGGACGTCGACTTGTCCTACAACTTGGCAACAACAGAAAGTCCGTAGATTGTGGTAACGCGGATGCCATCTCCTACACGGAGAAAGGAACCGTAATCCCGCACTGACAGCTTCCGTACACGTAAAGATTGAAGAGCAGTGTCAAGACGGCTGAACTACTCAGATCTGACTCGAACGCTAGACTGCCCCAAAACAGTAATTGACTTTCTTTGTGCCAGTCTTTGATACTGCTCCCCTGCAACTCGCCCCTAAATCTAGCTGTGTAAAATCTGTGGTACGCTTAATCTGACGATCTTTCAATGTGAACTCCGAAATTCTTTCGCATCTTCTGGAAAGCTGAGAACCAAGCCACTTCTTGGTGGGTGTTTGGTTACGGACCACTGCCAGCCCCTCGACCCCACCCTCAAAACATCGTGCAGACAAAGCACAACATTCTTGAAATGTCGGCATTTCAGGCTCTCGTGTACAGCACCGAAATGGTCGGACTTCCGCGCTTCGTCCTGGACTTGCATACGATAGTCACGTAAGTCGCTATGTGTACATAAATTGATGCGTAGACATACAAGTACCTGAATATACATATTTATTTAGCAAGGTATCAACAAGAGCAAGAAATATGCAAACTATGGACTGTGGAATTGCCAAATCTGCCAACCATGAATCCTGAACCGCGGTCTCTAGACCAAAGTTAACCTCAGAACGAGGCAAGTTGCGGGTTCATGTTTGATTTATGGTTTCTCATAAACGGCCGGGTTCAGAGCGAAGGGACGAAGAGAGCCACGCTTTTGCCAGAAAGCTGCTAACCCCAGCCCAGTGAAAAGATCAGATCCTAAACGCTACACCCACTCCTTGATGACCGCGATCTGTTTTCGGGCTTCTGCCTCGTCGACATCTGTCTGCCGGCTCTGGATGAGTAAGCAGAGGTGGCTCACTTCGTCTGGTGAGAGGTCCTCCAGGTAGCTGCCAGGGTTCAGGATCTTGGATGCAAGGGAATGTTCAGGTTCATCCGCCCCGAAAAATTCTGCGCAATTCCATACTCTTACTCAACTCTACGTGGTCAGCTTTATTCAGTTTACCGACAACCGAGAGTCAACCGTACAACAACACAAACCCTGACAACCGAGAGGCCTCTGGCTCGCTGTCCAGCAGCGGGGACAACAAGGGCGGGATCTCCACAGTGAGTCCAGTCCTGCATGAAACTTGTGGGTGGATTGCACTTATCTAGATGAATGGCCTAAGACGAGCCATGTGTTGCGTTGCTTTGTTCTTGGAATACGAATACCTGTGGACAGACCCAAACCCGCTAAAAGAAACGGCACACCGCCGACCTCAAACAGCCATTGTCAGAAGCCTCGCTGGCACACAGCTATGCAAGCACGAGTGTAGAAGACACTCTCTTTGGAGCAGGGTGCTTTCGGGTCAAGAAGCGTAAAGCTTTACAAGGGTTGCTGCCAGGCTAGGTGGGCCCTGTCAGCTCGGAGTAGATTTCTCTAGCTTGGCCTAAAAGGTTTGCATGCCAGGCTTGGGCTGCTTGGTGGTTTTCAGGATGTATCAGTTCCGATATGAGGCTTAGAAACCACCTGCTTCAAGCTGCTAAGAAGCCTGGAAGCTAAACTGAGCAAATGTGTCAAACCACCTTCTAAACGTATTCCTGGTGCTGACCATCGTTTTGACAAACCCTCCAACCCGACACCCGGAGGTGAGGCCTCTTGCAGAACTTGAAGCCAGAGACTACGTCTGGGACATCTACGCGCTTTCTGATGGTCCTGGATATGGGTTGTGCAACAGGAGGGCTGAGATTGATGTTTGGCTGTTTCGGGTTGAGTAATTCGTGTCTGGGGGAGGGGTCAAATGCGAATGCCTGGCGATCACGGAGAAAATTTTGAAGCATACTAAAACGGGCTTGTCTGCACAGCCGAGGCCGACTTCTCCTTCATTGCATGCAACTTTCTTGATGTCTTTTCATAGACTGCAGGGTAAGGTTTATTAGATGACCACTCACCACCGTGAAGAAAACATGAACTCTGCAGACAACACCCTCTACGCGACCAGCAACACCGTACTCAACCATCCCCCACGATGAGCTTTGCCACTTGAGTTTGACCGCGTTTGCCTATGCCGGCTCACCCAGATATTTCTCTCAAAACCTTCATATCTCAAGCAATTGAAGTTTTGCCCTTCTCCCGCTGCGGAGCGCCAAGCCCTCCCAGAGCTCCCCGATGGTCATGGCTTTCACCTCAGAGGGAAAGCTGAAAAAATCTAGGCTAGCAGCCTGATGCAACCTGAACTGAGCACCCTGCAATGAAGGGACATAACCGAACCCATCTATAAAAAAGAGCCGTAACAGTCCAGATTCAGTGCTGCGGCTCTGCCTGCCAGACAACAAACTCAGGGTCTCCGTCCCACCTGCAACGCCCAAACTTCCCAAATCCAAGGCACGACCCCGAGGTCGCCCTTTCGCGATGAGCGCTTCACCGCCGCTGTTTTTCGTGCTGCTCGACCTGCACAGACACTTTGGCTTAGAGCTGAAGTGGTTCAGAGCACGGGTCACCTGACTTTCAGTGCTTGTGGATGATCTGGATTTTGACTAGATTTGAACGGGTGGGTCTTGCCTCCGGCCAGAACCTAACAGAGCGTGGGTCGGAAGAGCCAAGCAGGTCTTTGAGCAGGGGACCGTGCCGCTGGCATAGACGGCAAGGGCGTTGGACCAACATCGATTAAGCATGCGCCATAGACTGTGATTGCCTTGGAACCTGCCATATCTACAAGCTACCATCACACTGACTGGCTTTCAAAGGAAGTTGGTCGCCTTTACCGCCCTCTGCAGCCCAGACCCTGAAAATCCCTTTAGCCGACTCCCTGAAGTCCGTCAACCTTGTTTCTGTTGGCTTCCATCATCCCCAAGCAAAATGAAACTAAACGGCCATTATGATAATGAGTGCCTCAATGAAAAAAGAAGGGGCTATTGGAGAACCTGCTTGGTGCTTTTAAATTGCAAGGTGATGGAAAATCAGTGCAATTCTTGCGACAATATTCGACATGTGACATGTCACGAAAATCATTGCCGTGTTTCGTTTATGGAGAGCTTCGTGCGGTCTTCTGCAATGCTCGCAACCAACATTCAATGCAAGGTCTGTAAGTAAGGGGATGGTCCAAGGCAAGAGATTTCTAAGAAACCGCAAGAGAGCTTTGGGAAAGTGGAAGGTTTGGGCTGCCTGACCTCTTCCCTTCCGAGGACGAAGTAAACTCAAGCTCTGGCGGAAAACGTGTGCACATGCACATAATGTATTTTGATCATGCTCCAGAGATTGTGGCTCTTGCATACCAAGTCTAGCGCATTGCTTGAAACTTGCTTGGTAAGCTCTCCGGTTGCCATCAGTTGGTGCTGCATATGCGTTTCGAAGTCTAAAAAAAGGCTGACCCTGAATTTGCAACGTGCGTTAAGAATCCAAACATGCACTGATTTTTTCGCAGCCAGACAGATGACACCCCAAAACCGCTCCAAAGCTTTCAACGCCACCTGGTAGGTACCCAGCCGCAGGCACACGGATGCAGAAATGTATGCCAGGTGAAAACAACTAACCTTCAAGAATCCGATGCTCTCCATTACCTTTGAGACTACTAATCCCTTTCCGTTCAAAATAACACTCCTTCACCACCAATGTGTTGCATGTTCCCTTGAATAGCGCAATTACACTAGCACTCCATGCTTGCTTGGCGATGGGGACAGATCTGTGTCGGAGTCTCTATAATCACTGGTGCGTCATAAATGCCATAGCCATCCATACGCACTCCCGCCACTACCTCTCAAGCATAAGCAGTACCGTTAACGACCCTAAGGATAGACAGGGATTCTAAAAGGATGAGGGGCCCTCCCTATTCTGATTTTAAGGATACTACAAGAGGTATTTTGAGATACTCACAGGTAGGGTGGCCCTGCGCAGCCTCGTGCCACGGCTTGGATCTTCATAGCAGCACGATCCTGCGGTCTCAGGCGTCTCAGGCTTGGCTGTTTGGCAAAAACGGAGGATGCTTAGGAACCCAAATGAGACGTAGGGACTTGAGCGAGGGCTCTTCTGTAGGAACAAGGGAACGCGTAGAGGAATCAAGCTGCAAACAGAACTCTTGTTCCTGTGATTCACAACTGCTTTACTAAGTCGCCTTGCTGCCCCCAAGCCTCCATCCAGAATCCCATCCCGCACTTAATGACAACAAATCTCATGCATCATGAATTGTCTAGCTTCATGCCTCCTCTACTACTGTAAGACTATGAAGCCATTTGTTCAAACTTCCATGTTAGGCTGGACAACTTTCATCCAATTACCTGAGCCCAGTTCGGCTTACGCACGTAAACCTACAGAAGCTTGCAAGCTCGATCTATTGTGCCTCATCGGAAATCGCTCTGGCCGCATTGGCAGGAACGGTGCCTGCGCTGGAATTCAGGTTGCGACGGGGCGGCAGTCTTGGGAGGCGCGCATCAGCATTGCTTTAGCCCCCAAGAGCGCACCGCTCTGTCATCAAGGACCGTTCAATTGTCCTTCCAGACTATAAGTTCTTTCAACATTTGGAGCAGGGCTGAGATGCCTTCTGGGTGTTTTCACTCAAGGTGATGAAGCAAACAAGTGACAAATGCAAATTTGGGATCATCTGGGGTCATCCAACATCACGTGACTGCAAAGGGAAGAGCAGTACGAAAACATGGCTTCGAGTGTTGCGCTGGAAGTTGCATAAGCTGTCGGAGCCTGAAAGCGTTTGTTGTTTCGTGCCCTCATTGCTTGCAGGGACTGGCACGGACCTTACTTCTGCAGTGAGCCAGTGCAAGTCTCGGAATGTTTGGGAACATGCGCAGACGGTTGGTCCTCATCCGTGAGCCACTTGAAATGGTGCCAGAGCTAGTCAGGGTGCAGGTATCCAACATTTGAGAGGTGGGGAGCCCTTCCGCCAAAATCAAGAGGTCAATCCCCAACCCTAACAATGAAGCCTGGAGCACCCAAACCATAACCGCTGCAGTCCTCCTTCCAGACAACCGCCCGAATCAAAACTCGACATCAAAAAGCATCAACATCTGCAGCAAACAACACCTACATCTTAGCAAAGGCTACATCACAACCATGGCCGCAAAGTGACTGAAAAGACTTGAGGGTTGAGAGCACCTGTGACGCCATTATAACTGCTGAAATAAGCTAACTCTTCTAACTGTAACCATATTCTCGGTTTTAGCGGCTTGTATTTGGGTTGTAAACCGTTGTAAATCCAGTTACACGTAGCTTACAAACACAAAATTATAACCTGGCATGCATAGCAGGCTGGGCACCGAAGAAGCCCAAAGGAGCCACTGCCCAGGCTGCGAATTCCTCAAGCACCAGAAAGACCATGACGTTGGGGCTCAAGATAGGGTGGATAGCTTAGTGATATTATGGAAGTTTCCCAAAACAAGAGGTACCTTCTTGGGGAGTCCCTATAATAAGGATTATAGCAGTTTGGGGTCTATATTGGGGTCCCCCTGTTTTGGGAAACTACTATATGAGGGTATAGAACTGAATATGAATAGTATAGGACGCTCAACAGCTGCTCCGATTTTGGCTTGGAAGTGAATTTAATTACTGCTCTTGGGTGAAGGACTGAGACTGACCGAGATGCCTCAAAAGCAAGAATTTGTTCAAGAGTGTTGCAACACTAAACAAACCTCGGATAACAGAACACAAGATCTCGGACGCCTAGTCCAGTCCCCATGAACCAGTCCAGGTAAAAAGTTTTACCGCCTTGCACATACCAGCTTGTCGGCGCTAAGCATCAAACCTCTGACTGAATCTACAAAAAATCTCCACGCAGTTCAGCGCATCTTTGTTAGGAAGGAGAACCGTTCAAAACCTTAGCTTTCAAACCTAAACCACTTAGTCCTAAACTCTAAGCACGGGGCCCTCACAAGCCATGAACTTGTAAAAGCATACTGAGAACCTGGCCCTGAAACCCCCCAAAGCCATCATCAACCCCCAAGTCCAAAACAATGCAACTCTGAACTAGGCCTGGCTCCTAAAGCCTCAGACTTATGAAGTTACGGGCTTGCCAAAAGGAAGGATAAGCCTCACAAAACACTGCTCCCTACCAGGAACCCTGCACCATGCCTGCTGGCCAAAAATACGGCAGATCTGATGATTACATGTGTTGAACTGGAATGCTCCACAAGTCCACACACCAACAGGAAATAGGTCTACCAGGCAAACACGCGCCAAGCTGCATCCATGTTCATGACGCCATCCTCCCCGACGCAAGAGCATGCCCATCAAAATGATCTGCTTTGGCTTCAAAACTTGACTTTTACGGCTGCTGCACCACCACGGCAAGGCTTCATGAAAGCAAACCTATCCTTTCATCTCGTTTTGGAAACTGCACTTTTCGCGAAATCCTGAAACTTTCTAAACGGCCAATAGGCTCCTGGCGAAAACTGAGTAAACCAAGCCATATTCCCAGCAGCAAGAACGCGAGAGGACTCTTCTCACTGCAGCCACAGCATCTTCCAGCTACTTGTATGTGTATTACCTCTCGAGTAACACGGACTAAATGCACAGCGATCACGTTCAACATAGGCACATCACCCTCCATGGCATAGACGCATAGTAATGTGGCATTGTTGACTTACTGAGCATTCTCCCCAACTCCAACCGTCACGTCAAGAGTCATGTCACGAACCAACTACAACTGCAAGCCAGCCCCTTGACTTTGTTACAACACGTCCTTGCTGAGGTCGGCATCCAGGAAGATTGAG